TATATAGTTGGATGCCAATTATACATATGTTGGATTTCCTTGGTCTTTGTTCTATATCTATTATTTCTTCTTTTTATTTTCAAATTCATTGCCATCCTGCATGTTATTGTGTTCATTTTTCTGAAGTCTACCTTCCATGTTCTTAGCTGAATTTTCACTAGCGGTTTGATGCTTCATTGGGTCCTTCATGTCTATGATGATTTATTTTCTCTTTCACTTCGTTCCTGAGCCCTGGTGGTTAATATTGCTCCTCTTTCCCTAGTCTTGAATTTTTTCTCTCATGTACTTGTAAGTTTTCTTTGAATTATTATTTAGAGGTGATTTTAAAAAATTAAGTTATTAAATTCATGAGAAAATCCTTGGTCTCAATTTTCATTCATCCAAGACAAAATCTTTCTCAACTGTTAGCAAGAAGTCTCTCTCTGGCTCATTGGAAGCTGTGAATAATGCACCAGGTGTGTGTGTGTGTGTGTGTGTGTGTGTGTGTGTGTGTGTGTGGTGGTTTAGCCTTTCCTATGTTAAACAGAGACTGCAGAGCCACTTACCTCACCATACTGTAGCCCTTGGACCTGGCTTACTTCTTTCTCATCAGTCTTGTAAGAAACTGTTCTTTAAAATCAAACTCTCTTACTTAGGCTGGCTCAAATGACTTCTGTTTCTTGCAACCAAATGGTGTAGTGAGTTGGTTTCTCTAAGTTTCAGTTTCTGAGCCCACCAAGTGATGTTAGATGAGAGGCTGCCTAATACTTTTTTGGCTCCATGATTCTTATTTTTCTTATCCTTCCTCAGGCCTAGCATGACACCTTGCATACCACAGCTGTCCAGTAAATATCTATCAATATAACTTTGAATGCATACTCAATTTGTGTTATGAGGGGGTAACATTGTCACACTAGGTAATTAATATTTCAGTACAATCAGAAATGGAGGGGGGCTTTGCTGGAATGTAACCTTGGGGTTAAGGAAACTTGACTGGATTCCTAGAAAAATTAAATAAAATCTCCCATCTAATTTGAAACACAGTTCAGCTACTTTGTTTAGGTGGATAGCTGCCCAGAAAGTTTAGCCTTAAGGCTCCCTACCAAATATTTTATGTGAAAAAAAGATATGTTGGCTGGAAATAAATAAGTCAAGGCCATGTACTTTGGATCCTTTGCTCTCATTTCTTTCTTTCACTAGCCCCTGTTTATTCTTTGACTGGAGGAGGAAAAATCTAGAAAAATAAATCTCCTGAGTCTACTTAGATACCTATGGTACAAGGGCTTTAACCCACCCAATCGTCTCCAGGCTGAATCCAGACACGTTCCCTCTGAGTCCCCAGCATGACCTCCTGCCAGCGCTTGCCCTAGCCTCCACGGTCAACATGCCTTTCCATGCTGGCTCTTAGAGCCAATGATTCGTGTGTTCTGTGTCACATCCCTTCGGCCCACTTGTCATCCCAGCATAGCTGTGGTGGGCAGCTACATGCACAATGACTAGTTCCACCTCAAGTGCCAATGACAGCGGCTCCTGCTCTTCTGCCTCAAATGTTTTCTGGAGGCCAAAGATGTCCACACAGCCAGGAAGTTAGAAGAGGTAAGTAGAGCATTCCCAGGAGTAATCCTCAGCTGGTGAGGGGTGAGATTCAGCGGATAAATGCCCCAGCCCCCTGACCTACAGAAAGGACAATTCTGAGACTAATTTTACACAGTTCCTGAGAGGGTCCCCAGAGGGATGGAGCCCCAGTTGTGCATCCTTTATTAGCTTCTTCTCCTTGCCTGTCTCATTTTCTTGCTTTCTGGGATCAACTTTGAAGTAAACAACCTGCACCCATGTCTTTGTCTCAGGTTCTGCTTTTGAGGGAACCCAAACAGGCCCTATGGAAGGCCCGTGCTTCACACTCTAGTCTCCTTCTGAGGCCTCTGGTCTTTGGGAGCAAGTGGGACCTTCTGCATCATGTCTATGCCATGCAGGAATTGTGAAGAGACTCCAAAAGCGAAACCCAGGCCCTCCCTCTATGTAGCCGTGGTGATCTACTAAGTTGACCTTAGTGAGGCTGCCCCCTCCCCTTGGTCAGTGCCTGAGAACAGGGGAGAGCAGCCAGTGTGGCAGTCTTCTCTCTTCTATTCCCGGAACTCCATTCACCCCTCAACGTACATCTTCACTCTGGTCGAAGGCCACAAACCGAGTAGATGTGGCATTTCCAACTGTCTGTGTCCCCTGCTTCCTCCCTTCTCCTAGAATCTACTGGGAGCAGAAGAGTGGGCTTTGGACACCCACTTCTTCTCTGCATAGCCTGCTTCTACTCAGGCATAAAACAGAATCTACTGGCAAAAGCTGCCTCTTGAGATGTTATAGGGGGACATAAAGGAATCTGGAAAATAATTTTCTGTCTGGCCGTGCTGGACATTTCTGCTACTGTTCTGTAAACGGTGACGTCCTTGCTTCCTAAACTTGTGCAGGCCCAATATGGTAGCCACCAGCCACATGTGCTACTGAGCACTTGAAATGTGACTAAAAATTCAAATGTGGAATTGAATTTTAAGTTTATGTAATCTTAATTAAAACTTTAATTTAAAAAAAATGAATACTTAATTCAGTTATTGAGAAACCTCTACTTTTTCAAGTAGAACTTTTATAAACCCCAAATACAGGTCAAGTATTTTTGATGTAAATTTAATGTCCGAATTGAGATGTGTGTAAATGCACCCCTGATTTTAGCTTTGTTAGAAAAATAGAATATAAAACACCTCATGAAGATTTCTTTATATTGTTTACACATTGACATGATAACATTTGGTTTAAATACAACATATTAAAATTAATTTCACTCGTTTCTTTTTTTTAATTTTAATGCAGCTAGAAAGTTTTCAAATTCTTCTGTGGTTTGCATTGCATTTCTATTAAATGACTGGTTCTAGGCAATGCTTATCTGCTGCTTTCCTGAGGCCGTGTGCCTCCTGGCCCAGTCCCTGGGGGTGGAAGGCTGCAAGAAGCAGGGCTTAAGGGGGTGGGGGAGTCTTCAATGTATTAGTTTGCAAAATATTATCCTTGTTACAGATGTATTGTCCCTATATTGCCTTGAAGGATAAAGGTCTATTCCTTTCTCTCCTGTGGCTCCCATATGGGGAAATTGATTAAAAGAAAGATGGTTTCTGGTGTCTTGAACTAATCAGTCAATTGATTTATTCACCACCATGGAGAGTACAAGTGGAGGGGAGTGGATTTTGTGTTAAGCAGGGTATATGGCTAGGGTTCCTAGCAGTCTAGTTTGAACAAGTTAAGCCTGCTCCTGTCTCCAGTTGATTGGGCTTTGGATGGTCACCTGACCCAACCTGGGCCAATGAGTTGCTCTTCTGGGAGATAGGACTAGAGACTCAGGAATTCTAGCTTCACCTGGTGGCTTTCTTCAACAGGGGAGCTCCAAACCCCAGTGATGAAAGTAATTGCCACCCTTTGTCATGTGTCTGGGGTGCAGAAAAGGCCCGTCTATGATGAAAGGGAAGAGTTGGCCCCTAACAGAAGACTTCCTGTGTTACTGGAAGCCCTCTAGGCTCTTGATTTGCCTCTTACTAAGCTTTTCCTGCAATCCTGACCCAGAGGCTATAGGGAAACCCTCCTGTTCTCAGAATACATTCCCCTGAGGGTGCTCATGTTACCTGCAAAGAAACTTAACTAATATATAGTAATGGGACTTCATGGGAGAACCTTGTGTTCATAGCTCAAGGGGAAAGAACCAGGTTCCCCCCCCCCCCCCCCCCCTGTAAGCTGGTCAGTGGCCTCCTTGTTCCTGGGTAGCTGGCACAGTTTTCAGCACCACCCTACAGCTGCTTTAGGTTCAAAAGACTTTTGTGGCTGGCCTGGGAAGCAGATCACCATGTTAACATTGTTTCTAAGGGAGACCCATTCCAAGATCCAAACAATGAATTTAGTGAAGAATGTTTGGCTTTCAGGAGGGATGAGCTGATCCTGCTGTATCTTAGGGGCTGGCTACCATCCACTTTTAGGTCCCCTTCCCTTCTGGCGGGGGGACTGACTCTTCAGAATTGGGGTATGTATGTGGGAGGAGAATTCTGAAAATAGGGAAGAAGCAGATAAGTTCCCAATCCTCCTCCCCGCCGCCCCCCACGCCCCGCTGGGGGCAGCTGAGATATTCTAGGGCTTCCTATGCACCGAGAGCCCCTGGAGGTCCAGGGATGGATAAGAGGGGGAGGTGAGAGGTGGACAAAGACACTTGGCCTCCTTCACGTTATTGTCACGTCGGCCAGCCCGCCAAGTCGAAGGGACCTGGCTTAGCTCCTGCTCGGCTCAACCCCTTTTTGGAATAAGCCTGTGTGTTAGGAGGAAAAAAAAAAAAATCCTACATGCTCGCCTGGGAAATCCGGGGTGCTCGAGGTGGGCTCCCCAGGACAGCGTGACTGTTCCCTGCGAGTGGCTGTCACAGCGCGGGGCCAAGACCCCATCCCTCTTGGAGAGGGCAGAGCGAATGGGGGAGGGAAACCAGCGCATCCTCCCCGCCCTCGCACACTCACCCCCTCCACGCACTCACCCCCCCCCCGCCCCCCACTCCCCGCTCCCCCAGAGCCCGGAAGAGGCACTGACAGTCCCAGCTCTGACTCAAAGGCAGGGAAGGAGGGGACGCTCAGCCACCCCATTGTCTGGGAGGGAGGGGAGAGGCTCCGCCCCCCGGGGGGAGGGGAAGGGGGAGGGGGAAGGCGGGAGAGCAGGAGAGGAAGAAAGGCGAGGGGAGAGGGGTGTGGGGAGAGATGGAGAGCTCAGGAAAGAAGTGGAGGGAGGATGATCACACCGGATAGGGGAAGATAAAGGCTTAGGGGCGGGCAGACCGCTAAAGGAGGGGCGGAGAGGGAGCGAGGAGGGCGGTGCGTCCGACCCCCAATCTCGTGGCGGTCGCCAACCCTGCCCCGCCCCGCCGGATTTGATCCGAACCCGCTGAAGGCTGACCGAGGCGCCGGCTGGAGCAGCCCCCCTGCCGCGGCACCCCGCTTCCAACCTACGGTCTCCGCGATGCTGCGGGCTCGGAACGCAGGCAAGGCTCTGGGCGCGGGGCGCGGGGCGCGGGGCTCCGGGCGCAGCACGCGGGACGCCGGGTGCGGGGTCCCCGCGGTCCTCTCTCCCCTGCCAGTCTCCGCCTCCCCGAAAGTTTCCCCGCACGGCCGGGTCCAGGTCAGCCCCTCTCTCCTCGCCTGCCTCGCGGTGTCCTCCCTCCTCGCCCAACCGCTGGGGGTTCCCGTGGGGTTTCTGGGGGGTGTGGACTCCCCAGGGACTGCGTAGGCTTGGAACCCCAGCCGACCTGGCTTCGGGCCGGAGAAAGTTGTGGCTCCAAGTTCGTCCTCCCGCCCCGAGCCCGGGGGTCCTTCCTTCTCTCCGCAACCTGGGCGGCGGCTGGAAGGCTCCTCCGCCCCGTCCCCGGGGTCCCGGCGACTCCCTGGCGAGGTGGGGCAGGGCGGCAGGTGCAGGGAGGGGAGGCCCCCACAGCCCTGGTGAGTGCCCGACTCCAATCCGGTCCTCTCCTTCCCGGCCCAATGGACAGTTCGTTCCTCAGAGGCGGGTTCCACGCTCCCCGCCCCCCCCCCCCCCGGGCTCCCTCTGCCTCCACAAGGGCTCAGGGGCCCCTGGTCCTCGGGGCACTTCCCCTCTGCGGTCTCCCGCCCGCCTCCGGAGCTAGTGCTTGAGGTCTAGGGGACCTCGGCTTTTCGTCCTCGGCGCCCGAGAGAGGCAGGTGCCTTGGGCGGACGCGGCCACTTCTGCATTTTGAGCGCCTGCTTTGCATTCAGCTTCTAAACTGGGAGGAACCGGGGACAGCCGCGCAGCGCTGTGGCCGGGCTGGGAGGCCCAGGGTCCCCTCTTTGCCCCAGGGCGCTCAGTGGGGCCTGGGTGGTTCGCAGCACCTTTGCACCTTCGTGACAGGAGGAACTGAGCAGAAGGTTTCTCCGGCTGCCATGAGCTTCATTCCCAGGTGGCCGGAATCTGGGCCCTAGAACGTGTTCTCCCAGAGGCCAGAGGCTGTGTCCAGAGCCGGCCAGGCTTATAGTGAGTCCCTTACGTGTAATGAATGAACGTCTGAACCAGTGAGCTGACCGATAACAATTTGCCCTGGAGCGGGACTCAGTTCCTGCCACAGTTGATCTTGGTACAATGGGAGGAAAGAATTAGAAACAATGATTGTTTTGAGCAGCTGCCTCAGCCAGAGCCAGGAGCCTTCTTTCCAGATTATCTGGATGAGGAATCTGGGGTTGGAATGATGGTACTTATCAGTTCATATTTACCTACCAGGAACTTTTTCTGCAGGGGGGTCTGAAAAATTCGAGACACTTCTCTTGACTGAGACATATTTATTGCGTTGTTTGAGGAGAGGTCTTTCTTTTTAGCTTGTGTCCAAATGCAGTGTCCTCGGGACAAAGTGTGGAGTTGGCGTGGGAGGTGCCCATTGGGGAACAGAGACCCTGGAGTGGGGCCATGAGTCTGCGCACCAGCTGTGCTTTCTCCTCTAGACAGGCCAGCTGATGCCTAGGAGCTGGGGCAGGGAACCTGGAGGGGGGGAGGGGGGTAGATAGAACAGGGAGGGCCTCAAATGATGGTTGAGCTCAGAGAGGTGGGGTATTTTGGAAAGAGAATAGTTCTTGCTCTGGGAGAAGGAGGCATAGCAAGCAGCCTGCGGGGCACCTGGGAGTCTGGGCTGGAGAGGCTGGGGGTGACTCCTGCTCCTGCTTCAGAAGATGGGAGAGCAGAGGTGGAGTATTGGGGAGATCGGATAATTGTGTGGTGCAGCCTACACATATCCCATGCTCCTCTGGCTTCATTTTTATGCTGGTGAAATCTGTTAGAATGATGAGGGGCACCTTTGGGGAGCCTGGCTGAGGGGAGGTCAGGGGATCTGGAGCCCCCAGTCATGCCCTCCTCCTAGGGAAGGTGGGGTATACCTTCTCCACCAGGCTGAGTGGGCCAGGGCATATGCAGCACTTGCACCTGCTGCATCTCTAGCTGGCAGCACCCCACCTTCCTGAGGGTGGTCTCCCCCTGCCCTGGGGGCTCCATAACTCACCTCTCTGCTTTTCTGCTTGGCTTCTGTTTGGGGGTTCAGGCCTTCTCTCCAGTTTGTGTTATCTTGGGAGTGGTAGATGCCCTACACCTTGTTTTTGATCCCTCAGCCCTCCTCAACTCTCTGATGCACTGGCCTACTTGGGACTTTTCAGTCATCTGCTGGTTTTGCTTGGATTTCTTGGTCTATTTCCTGGTGCCCTGGAGCCAAGATTTGTGTCTGCCTTCTGTGGTAAACGGCTTAGGACAGCGGTTCTCAACCTGTGGGTCGCAACCCATTTGGGGGTCGAACGACCCTTTCACAGGGGTCGCCTAAGACCATCGGAAAACACATATATAATTACATATTGTTTTTGTGATTAATTACTATGCTTTTTTTTAAATATATTTTATTGATTTTTTACAGAGAGGAAGGGAGAGAGATAGAGAGTTAGAAACATCGATGAGAGAGAAACATCAATCAGCTGCCTCCTGCACATCTCCCACTGGGGATGTGCCCGCAACCCAGGTACATGCCCTTGACCGGAATCGAACCCGGGACCTTTCAGTCCGCAGGCCGACGCTCTATCCACTGAGCCAAACCGGTTGCAGCAATTACTATGCTTTAATAATGTTCAATTTGTAACAATGAAAATACATCCTGCATATCAGATATTTACATTACGATTCATAACAGTAGCAAAATTACAGTTATGAAGTAGCAACGGAAATAATTTTATGGTTGGGGGTCACCACAACATGAGGAACTGTATTAAAGGGTTGCGGCATTAGGAAGGTTGAGAACCACTGGCTTAGGAATGGCTGAGAGAGTGGGCTAGAGAGATGCCCAGGAGCACACATCCTGGCATCTCTGCGGGGTGCCAAGGGCTGGACTCTGGACCTTGCCAGAAAGGGGTCCTGTCACCAGAGGACCTCGGCCTGATCATTGCTTTTAGTCCTGTCTAGGGTACTTTGGCGGGAAGTGTGCTCACTGGGAGGTGGGGTGTAGAATCAGGACCAGATTGCCAGAGAACCCCATGAAGAGAAGGGGATTCGAACTGGGTGTTCTAAGAGCAGCTCCAGGACTTGCCCACGTTTCCTTCTCCTCTCCCTCGGAGTGAAACCCTGGGCAGGTCGCCGCTGTGCAGTTGGAATGGAACAAGACCCCCAGTCTCTGTCTTTATCCGTAGTTGCTGAGAACTGCTACAGCTGGGTTTGTAAAACCAGGGCAGTGGTCCTCTCCCCGCACCGGTCACAATATGGTCCAGTGATTTACCCAATGACACACTGTCCTATTTAAACACCTCCCTGCCTCTCCAGAAGAATTTAAAATAAATCTTAAGATGGGTTATGCTCCCACAGACCCATGATTGTGGTTTTATTTATCTGGCCTGCTTGTGGGTTCCCATGAAGGACGTTGAGGGGTGGGGATGGGGCAGGAGGCAGAGGGAAAGCAGGACACAGAAAACAGGGACAGTCTTCAGCCTCGACTGGCTGGGGGACTAGGGGTCATTGTTGGTCATCCCTCGGATGGCAGGCTAAGCCTGTAATCACAGGTTGATGCAGCTGCTGGGATGATGACAGCTTGGGGCTCAGGACTCCTGCCCAAGGCAATTGTGGCTGAACCTCAGAGGGCAGCCTCTCACAGGAGAAGGGGATGGGGAAGGGCATTTGGCCTGTTCCCGAGGGAAGAGCAAAGGAACTTAGAAGGGCTTTTCTATTTTAGTAATAGAAATTGGTAAAAAGATACCCTGTGCTTTCCTTGGACATGTCCACCCGAAGTGCTTGGACAAAGTAAGTATACTTCACCAGCAAGTTTACCCATAAGTGGCACTCGTTTGAGTGTTTGTTTGATTAATGGCTCATTTCTTCAAGCGTAATGAAAACAGTGTTGAATTGGGAGTTGAATTGTATTTGTCCATTTCCTAGCAGCGTGGCATTGACCAATGTCAGCACCCTTCCCATGTTCCTTTGGCCTCGAGCAATGACTGATGGGAGAAGGTGCATAAACACTCCAGCTCCCTCGCCTCTTGGTTGGGGTAACTTCGGGGCATGTTGTCTGCTGGCTCACAGGTAACTGGCTCCCTCCATTGGCTGCCTTCCCTTCCCTGTGCACTTTCTCACTGCCTTCCACTGGCCCTTGAACCCTTATCTTAGAGTCAACATCTGGGGAATACCACCCTAAGACAGGCTTTAGTCTGTAATTAAAAAGTCATTGGGAGTCTCTTGAGTTTCAGGTTCCCCAACTGTAAGACAGAACTGATAACTGTCTCACAGGGATATGGTGCTGTGAGCTCAGCCCGGGGCCTGGCAGACAGCAGGCATTCAGGCAAACATTTACTGGCGCATTGATTAGTACCGAAGGGGCTGTGGTGGATTTGGGAGTGAAAATTATAATGGACCACGGAGAATTATAATGCTGTCCTTAGGTTAGGTGAGGAGCCCAGGTCCACTGCGCATGGTTTTCACATCTAGATTGTGACCTGTGATGTGCTGAGGAATGTTTGGCTCTGCAGGGAGGTGAATAAGCCCGTTTTGTGGCTTTTGCTGGTTTCTGTAATGTAAATTTACCCACGTGGCAGATTTCAAGCTACTAACATGGCATCGCTCAACACTGAGTTGGGATGAGATGTGCTCCATCAGCACTTGAGAGCCGGTAGGAGCCAACCTCAGCACACGTCTGGTCATGTGTAAGCTGGGATGTGACCTCAGATCTTTTTTTAAAAAATACATATTTTCATTGATTTCAGAGAGGAAGAGAGAGGGAGAGAGAGATAGAAACATCATTAATGAGGGAATCATTGATTGGCTGCCTCCTGCACCGCCCACACGAGCCGGAAACCCAGGCATGTGCCCTGACTGGGAATCAAAACGTGACCTTCTGGTTCATAGGTTGATGCTCAACCACTGAGCCATGCTGGCTGGGCTGATCTCAGATCTTGATTTCCAGTTTCGTACACAGGGTGAGGAGGATAAGAATTGTACTAGGCGTCAAAATTTGGAGTATGT